CCCTAGCTCCTCTCATTGACCTTCCCAGTTGATGGTTTGCTTAAAATTTCAGTTCATCTTCATGGCAACTGATTTTAAAACATATGTCTATACAAAAACCTACAAATATATGTAGCAGCTTTATTTATAATCACCCCAAACTGGAAACAACCAAAATGTCCTTCAGCAGCTATATAGATATAAAAATTATGTTACATCTACAGAATGAAATATTTGAACAATAAAAAGAAATGAGCTATCCAACCATGAGAAGGCATGGATGAATCTTAAAGGCATATTGCTATGTGAAAGAAGCCAGTTTGAATTAGCTACAATCTGTACATGTATGACACTTTGGTAAAGGTAAAACTACAGATACAGTAAACAGATCAGTGATGGCCAAACATTTAGAAGCATCAATTAGGGAAAGCATAGGAGATGTTTTAGGGCAGTGAAATGATTCTGTGTAATATGGTAATTGTGCATTAACTTAAACCACTAAACTTTGCAGCACAAAGAGCAAACTTCAGTGCATGCAAATTTAAAAACAAATTCATTTAGCAAATAGAAGTTCTCAAGATAAATGCAGAAGTGACAAAACAATCTAAAGATATTACAAATGTATGAAATACCTTACTGATGGAGATGGGGGAAAGATGCTAACCTAATTAACTTTGGAAACTAAAAGCAAAGACAAAAACAAAACAAAACAAAATGCACTATACATAAGCATTGTCCTCTACCTGATAAAGGTGATTCCCACAGTGATGTGGGTAGCGATTCTGATACTACCATACAGATGCACTGGAACTGAACAATTAAGTAAATGGATGGCAAATGATGGCAGCCAGATTTATTCCTATTTGAGGTGGAGTTTACAGGTAAGCAAGGAGAAGAGGCTAGAATAATCAATGCAGTAATGGAATAAAGTTATAGACAGTATGAACTCGTGTTTAGCTTATTATAGATACAGATGGTTACATATAGAAATATTTATAGTTATGAGTACCTACACAGGCAAATATATATATATATTTATCCTCCCTTAGTAGCTGTGAGGGCCTAGAAGTGATGACACTATGGTAGCAACAAGTACACCTAGTACCCAGATTTTGATTTCTAATACTATTCTTTAATAAAGGAAGCAGAACTCCTTGGAGAAATAGCTGATTCTAGGACTTGCCAGGAAGTGTATAAGATGAGCCTGTGGCATCTAGTAGTAGTGCTAGAAAATCGGAAAGTTACCCTTTAAAAGAGCACACTGATGATTGATGGAGGTTTGTCAAAGGGACACAGGAGCTTCCAATGGTCAGTGCAATAATATTTTTTTAAGTGGTATTGAATTATCACTCAAAATATAAAGTAAACATCCATGAGTCTATCTTGATAATATAAATGATTGGATATATTAATGGGGAAAGAGAAAAATCTCACAAAGAAGAATTCCAAATAATTTATGTAGATACTCCTTCCTGAACAAGTTGGAACGGAACTTCCCAGACATTAAATAAGGATTGCATATAGTGATTTCCTTCCAAACAGTACATAAAAGAGAGGGGGAAAAAATATAACTTTTTAGTAAAGAAACAAGGCAAACTCTACCAACCAGGTGAACAAAGTTAACATCACAAGTGATGTCATATTGAATGTTGACAGTATGTATCTTTTATATGTTCTAGTGACATGGCATTTTTACCTTTGTGGTCTTCCTTGCAAAAACCCATAGCCACAGTGTAGCAAAAAGAGAAACATAAGAAAATTTTCAATTAAGGGACATTCTACAAAATGCCTAGCTGGTACTCCTCAAAACTCCCAGCCATCAAAAGCAAGGAAAATCTGAGAAATTTCCACAGCTAAAAGGAATCTAAGGAGACATGATGACTAAATGTAATTTGACATCCTGGATGGGGTCATGAAACAGAAAAGAGAACTTAGATAAAAACTAAGGAATAAATATAGACCTTTGTTGATAATTATGTATCAATAATGATTCATTAGTTGTAGCTAATATAAGATGTTAATAGAGGAAACTACATACAAATAAGTAGGAACTTTGTTGCTTTATTATTTTAGATAAATTTAAAATTGTTCTAAAAATAAAATAATTTAAAAGTATGAAAATAAATTATGTGCATGCTTAAAGTAGAATATTGTCAATTCGAACTGAGTTTGAACTTGCACAGAACTAACAAAATATGAAGCTGAAATGAGAGAGAATGTGATGGGGATACCACAGGTGTCTGGTAAAACTGTCAATCACTATTATTTGAGTACCTACTCTATGTCCTATTAGAGCTTAAGTTAATTCAGCAGAGGGAGAGTAAAAGAATAAACATCCAGTTAACATAATTACCATAAGGGGTAAAGTTAAGAAGAAAAGGAAGCAGTATATAAGAGCTAGAAGAGATGGATAATATGAAAAGTAGTTTAGTTGGACTTTCAAAGAATTTTCTGAGAAAATGACATTTAAGTTCTTATAGCCTTTGTCAGTGTATTTTTCTGAGTCGAATTCTGGCCCATTTTATATTGGTTATTCAGAGGTACACTGGTAAAACCAAATAAGCCAATAATTTGATTTAGCTTAGAGAAATCATTTAACCCAACCTCAAGCAGAAGAAATAGATTCACATTAAGATTTTTGTTGACTTAGATCAAATCTACTTGGTATGCTTAGTGTACTGTATTAACCATTTTTAGAGTTCCCAGGATATAGCTCTTGAGAGCTGTGATTCATTCTCCTACCCTCCCTCCACCTAAAGATTTAGATGAACTATAAATTTGTTAACTAGAGCACGATGACTAGATAAAGCAGGCTGCATGAAGTGAAAGTCGGGCAGAGAAACTTAATCATTTACACCAAAATATCAAAAACAAAAAATAAAAATAAAAAAAAAAGATGAGTAAAATGTATCTGCTGGAAGCAGTAACCAAGACTTTATATTTAAATATTTAATAACCCCTTTTCTTAATTCTAAATAGCAAACACAATTTCCTCTCTGCCAGCCTAGGTGAAACAATTTTCTGATCTGGGTGTGGTGGCCTAGATGAGGTTGTTTGGGCTCCACACATCACTCTACTACATGATTTGCCACGTTGACCTGTTACGTTTTAAGTCTACTTAAATTGTCTTGAGTATCTAATGTTACATATGTGAATCCAAGAGTAAATTAGACTTGCTTCAGGGAATTCTAGGATTTAATAATTTGATAAAAGAGATACTCCCCAATTACCACACTATGTTGGGATTTGCCTGAAAGGAACTCAGGAGTAGTATTTCTTAATCTTTGTATAGAAACAACTAGGAATATTAACAATTATTTAAAGATCCTTGAAGAATTCTCCAAACTTACATTTAATTGATTTGTAAAACCAAAAAAGCCTTACATAGTGCTTGAAAGGGTTAATGAGCAAAATTGCATTGGATACATACATTTCATATAAATATCATAAGGAGAAAATAAATATCAAGAAATTATCAAGGACTTGCTAGTTAACAGACATTCTGCTTCCTGAAAATAAAGCAGTGGAGCATACTCACAGGGGTCTGTCTTACAGAGATTACGGTCCAGTGTGAGTTTGGACAATAAACGGTTACAAACTAAAATAATAAATGTTGAACAGGAGATATTAGATTGGGCACAATAACAGCACATGCATGGGACTGTGACTCATATTTTAAAGTTCTGATTAGGTTTCTCAAGTAAAAAATAGAGGAAATAATTCAGAAAAAGAAGATACGGGGTGACACATGGTGGGAAAGAGACTTTTCCAGACTATAGATGTCCAAAAGCTAACGAGTGTCATATTGGTATATTTTCTGTTGGTTTTGGATGCATAGAAGAAAGGAGATTGCCAACCACTGCTAGAAGATGCTTTCATTATGGCCGAGGACTGAGTTTTTATCAATTCTATGGAAGAAAAAAAGAATGAGGTGATGGTGATGGTGATGGTGACGGTGACGGTGACGGTGACGGTGACGGTGACGGTGACGGTGACGGTGATGGTGACGGTAATGGTGATGGCATGACTGGGTCCACATATCCAGGTCATCCTTAGTATTTCTTCTGATCTGTGTTTCAGTGATCCTTAGACATTTCAATGATACCCAGAGAAAAATGGCATAAAAGTTCATAGGAATAGAAATAATGTCACTAGAGTCCCATTAAATGAGGATATAATTAACAGATGGGCTAAAAGTAAACGTGTCAGTTCATTCAATATAAAAGTCAATGACTTAGACAAATAAATTACCCTTACGTTATTTCTGCTCACAAGAATATTTTTCTGTCTAACATTTTCTTCAGGGCAACACTGACATCTTTATTCCTTAGGCTGTAGATCAGGGGATTTAACATGGGCACAACAATAGTATAAAACACAGAAGATACTTTCCCTTGGTCCATGGAGCTCACAGATGATGGCTGCAGGTACATGAATGCTGCAGATCCAAAGAAGACAGCAACAGCCAAGATGTGGGAGCTGCGAGTGCTAAAGGCTTTGGACTTGCCTTCAGTGGAACGGATGTGGAGAATGTGGGCAATGATGAAGATGTAGGAGCTAAGGATGATTAGGGTTGGGGCAAGGATGTTAATTGCACTAAAGATTAGAATTAGTAATTCGTTGGCATAGGTACTGGAACAGGAGAGTTTTAGTAAGGAAAGAAGATCGCAGAAATAATGGTTGATCACATCAAATTTGCAAAAATGAAGTCTAATTAGGCAGCCTGTATGAGCAAATGCACAAACCAGGCCTATCATATACACCCCCCAAACCAGAGAGAAACAGGCCCGATGGGACATGATGACATTATAAAGCAAGGGGCTACAGATGGCAACATAGCGGTCATATGCCATTGCAGCCAACATGTAACACTCCGAGATAGCAAAAAGAAGGAAGAAATAGAGCTGAGTCATGCATTCAGGGTAGGAGATGGTGTTCTTCTCTGCCACAAAGTTTACCATCATTCTGGGGGTAATGACAGTGGAATGGCACAGATCAATGAAGGACAAGCTGCTGAGGAAATAGTACATAAGGGTGTGTAGGTGAGAACTGAGCCCTATCAGTGTGATCATGCCAAGGTTCCCCACCACTGTGACCACATAGATTCCTAGGAAGAGGAAGAAAAGGGGCAGCTGGAGTTCTGGCTGTTCTGTCAGTCCAGCGAGGGTGAATTCAGTCACTGTGGAATGATTTCCAGGGTCCATATCTTCTCAGCAGGTTCTAAGTTTAAAAAAAAAGAAAATGAATGTACTGGTGTGTGTGTGTGTGTGCATGTGTATGTGTGAGTATACGTGAAGGGGAGCACGCTTATGTGGAAAACATTAGTTTATCCCTCATCAAAGGGAATTTATAATGCAATGATCTCTTGAATTTCTTTTGCAACTCTGAGACAACCAATGATTCTGATTGACTGGAGAAAGAATTACAGACTTCAAGAAACTTATAATTAAGATACTTCATAAATTTTTAAGAGAAAACACCAATTTTTCATTTTAAGTCAGCCAGAAGGAAACTTGCTACTCTTGTTTCTAGAACTTTTTAAATCCTTTCCATATTCTATACGTATGTATTACTATCATACACGTAAAATGGCACAATATTTTTTTTAGTCTGAATAAGTAATATTAGTGTGTGCTTTCTATAATTTATAAGCATAGGATTCTTAAGCCTGTGAAAAGAAGTGTATTGATCTGAGCAATTTTCCTTACTAGAATCCCAAGTCAAAACAGCTGAAGGAATGGGTGACTACCAGTATTTTTCAGCCTGGGATTCTGCTGCTGTATCTGCCCTAGGCCGACTACCCCAGGAGGCAGAAACATAACTGCTTGGAAGGGATTATGCTTCTATTTCAACAGTTTTTCCCAGACCAAGGAACCATTCTCTCTTATTTGGTTCTATAATATAATGGCCTAAGTGTAGGTCATGTATTACACCAGTGTGACCAGAGAAGCGTGACCAGAGATGCAATTTGGACTTCACGATTGAAGTGGTAGAGTTCAGAATACTGTTCATATTCCCAAAATATGAGAACAGTTAGTGAAAAGACACCAGGTGTTATTTATGCTGGGTTTTTTTATAATTATATATTTTGCATATGTTCTCTATAGAATTCAAAAATGATGGAGATGTGAATTAGTAGAGCATATGCAAAACAATTAGAAATTTTAAAGTCATGCTAATCTAGAGTGTGACGTGTTTTCTTAAAAAATAACAATGTACGTTTAGGTTTGCAAAGAACATGATAGATTCCAGAAAATATAGATTCATATTATTAGTCAACACTCAAGTAGTAATTGGATTAGTGTATTCAGTTTGGGGTACAATATGTGTTATAGAAAAACTGGAAAATTTCAGGAAAATGATCTAGAAATTTCTCATTTGAGAAATGACTGAAATAACAAGAAATTTCAAAGCAAAAATTTCTATGTCACATTGCAATTACCTCAATGTTCAAAATACTGTTTTATTTAAGACGTATTGGCCTTATTGTATGTCTCTAAAAGAGTGAAACAAAACCAGCTGATTGAAACTATGGGGAGAAATATTTGGTTTTACAGCAAAGATGAACATTCCAATGATCAGAAATACCCTGAACTTATGGTCAGAAATGCTTAAACACAGGCTGAATAACAAATCACTAAGCAGATATTATTTAAGGACACAAGCACCAGGCAGGTGGGTGGATTAAATTATCTTTAACATCTCTTCTAGTTTCAATATTTCAATATTCAAGATTTTATAATTTTAATAAGTCTTAATATTAAGTTAGACAGTTGTGGATGCAAACCTCAACTTAACTCCGTACTTACTATATGACTTAGGTCTAATTACATCCACTCCCCAACCCTTTGTAAAACAGAAATGCTAATATTTGTCTCATGTGAAAATTCAGTTAAATGATGTCAAGGTGCTTAGCACAGTTTCTGGCTTTCATTAGAACTTAATAAATGTCTATGTTGTTTTAATTTTAATCTATTGAGTTTCTCTCTGACATATCTTCTATTTAACCAACATTTTCATTCTGGAGTTTAATATTTTTTTCTTATCTTATTCTTGCTCCTTTCTACATGAAAACACATGATAATACAGAAATTTGGCATCTTTTACTTTACCTCCTAAAATCATCAATATTTTTTATGGTCTCCAAATAAAATTCCAACCATATTCTCTATCATTCAAAGATTTATGTCATCGGGCAATAACAAAAAAATAAAAGGATTTTTTTTTTATGTCCCAACACAAGTATCATATGATTTAGCTATTTCACAAAAGAGCATTTGGTAAGCAATTTTTTGACTCACCATATTCTCTTAGCTTTTCTCGTATTCTATCCTCTCTATCCTATGGAATCTATGTAGTAGTTAGGGAACTTTAGTTAAGGGCTTTAGTAATGAAAGCTCCAGTTAATGAGACCATTTTTTTTGCGTGCCCATAAATACGTTTCTTATGTTTACATTTAGCATGTTCTTAATTCTGTATTAATCATTGAGTTATGACTGGTTTTTCTTCTGTACTAGACTACAAATTATATAACAGTGCTTAGCATAGTAGCTTCCATACAGCAAGTCTCAATAAATGTTTTTTAAATAAAATTATTGAAAAAGTATAAAGATAAGTTAACATAGAGTCAGTATAAGTGAACAAAGCCCTTACACTGCCTGAGATGAAGTGAGTGACAAAGAAGTGCTTACCACAATTTTATTCAGCAGGGGACAGGGAGATGATAAAGAAACCTTTCCTCATCAAGAAGTGTATTAGATGAGAAAAGGCAGAAACATATAAATAACTACATGCATGTCTAAGTGCATTGGGAGGGAACTTAAGTAGCACACTCTAAAAATTTAAAAGTCAAGTACTAGGACTAAGACATACCATTTCTCTTCTCCTAAATTTCAGTGCTATGTATTTTTCACCTCCATTTCTCTGAAAGGAAAAGTAATTCTGATGATCCTAGTGAATAGTTCTGTGCACTAACCTTGCAAGACTCTTCAGTGCTCGAAGGTATCGTAGCCTAAAGTTCTTTGTGGCAATAATTTTAGGCACTGTTTTGATCTCTGATGAAGCCTATGGCCTTCTGCAAAGGTTGGTTAATGTGATATGATGATTTTATACTCTCTTTATTTATGCTAAGAGTATGGTTAAGAACAAATAATGATAATGACCTCCCACTAAAATCTAATCTCACAATATCAACTCTTGGGAAAAGAGACAATTAGAGTTTTCCTTTTCCCCCACTGGCTCTCAGCATTTGATAGTGTCACATAGGCATGATTTATCATTTTGTTTGTACTATTGATTGAAATAAAGCATGTACTAGATTTTGTTAGAGGTTCAGTAAATTTCTTGTCAAGTTATTTAAAAGTTTTAAATTTCAGGAAATTTTTGAGACATATACTAAGAGAATTTTCTAAAGTGAATTCTCACAAGAGGAAAAAGTAAAAATCAGTGGAAACAACCCTCTACATAAGATTTGAAAGATTTTATCTTCATTGACTTCTTCTAACTGTATTTAGGTGTCATGGCATACTCATAAAACAGTAAAATTTGGAATACTTTAATAGGGGATGAATGAAAGCATCTGCTAAATATTGCCATAAACTTATGGGAAATTCCTAACAAGCCTAACAACAAAAGATGCCTTATTTTCTAAAAAGAAATATTGAGAAACAATAAACACATATATGTTATATGAAATTAGTTTTCTTGTTTTTTTGTTTTGTTTTTTTCACTTTATTTATTTATTTATCTATTTATTTATTTATTATGGTGACATTGGTTAAAGAATTCCAATAAGTTTCAGGTGTACAATTCAACAGTAAGGTGTGTGTACACACACACACACACACACTCACACACATATGTGTGTGTGTGTATAT